GGGCCGGCCCCCTCCCCCCGCAGGAACTGCCCGTTCCATATATGGCCCTTCCTGCGCGCCTAATATGGCGCTTCCTAGGCCCATACAAGGCGCTTCCTTCCCGGCAGCCGCGCTCGGCCCCGGAATCCGAGCCCAGCCCGGCGGGTGCGCGAGGGCAGGGCGGCTCTCGGCGGAGGATCGGCCTCAGGGCCTGTGAGTTATCCGAACGCAGGATGGTGTCTCCCCAAGCTCAGCTCCCTGCTCTAACGGGGAGGCGCATGGAAGGCAGGGGGCTGGGGGGGGGAGTTAGCCTGAGCTCCCAGAACAGAGGGAGAAGCTGCTCAAAGTGCCAACTAGATTTTTTTCAGGCCAGAATGAACAATCGTGACAATGTTTCTCGCTGTATTTTTGCCTCGATGCAATAAAACTGGAGATGAATCAGCAGGAGCCATTTTTCTTCTAATGTAAGTGGTTTCAAAAGCTTTCAGTGTAACCGACCTCGAATTTGACTGAGGTTTAGGTGGGCTTCGCAGGGTTTGGTTTTGTTAGTAATTGTTCAGAAAGGCCCCAACAACCCTGACAGTTAATAACTGACTCTGTGGTGCTGGCTAGTAGAGATGTCAACCTGTAGATGACTATAGGCTTGGGGTTTATTGGGTAATCCTGTTGACTACATGCAGTCCCGTCCCCACTTGCTGCCTCTGTATTAGAGGCAGCAGTGGTAGGGAGGCGGGAGCCAGTGCCTGGGGAAGAGTCAGCGTTAAGCTGACTCCCCACAAGCACCTGATCCAACTACCCTCCCCCTCCGTCTGTGCTGCTGTCTCTAATAGAGAGGCAGCCACACAAAGGGTGAGAGAAGCAGGTGGGAGCTGATACATGCGCGGAGCCAGCTTTTAAGCTGCCTCTCCATGCATGCTGGTTCTGCAGACCTGCCCTCCCTCGTTTCTACCTCCTACAGTGGCAGCACGAGGGGGGAAGCAGCAGCCAGTGCTGAGGGGAGCTGGGCTTAAAAGCTAGCTCCCCCAGCTCTGGCTCCCTGTAGCAGCTCTGCCTCCCCCCCTTGTGTTTCTGCCTCTTTCCTAGGCAGCAGTGTGTGTGTGGAGGCTGGTGCAAAGCTGCTGGACAGGCTGCTGCTGCTGCAGAACAGCTTCTGTCTGTGGGGAAATTGGAGACCCCCCCCCCCCCCCCAGGGGGCCGCGCGGGGGGGGCCTCCGTTCC